ATTGCAGAAAGGAAAAATCGAACCATCATGAACATGGTGAGAAGTATGTTGAAAGGCAAGAACTTACCCAAAGAGTTCTGGGGTGAAGCTGTTTCGACTGCAACATACATTTTGAACAGAAGTCCTACAAAGAAGCTAGAAGGAATTATTCCAGAAGAATGTTGGTCTGGTGTGAAGCCTAGCTTAAGTCATCTGAAAGTATTTGGATCTATTGCACATAGACATGTGCCAGATCAGTTGAGAAAGAAACTTGATGACAAGTCAAGTCAAATGATCCTAGTTGGATATCATTCGACAGGAGGCTACAAGTTGTTCGATCCAGAGAACAAGAAGATTGTGATCAGCAGGGACGTGATCATAGATGAGTTCAAAGAATGGGATTGGACTACAAATGTCAAGAAAGATTCAGTGGGAATCTTATTCGAAGAGCCAGAAACTCAAGTCGAAAGAGAAGTTCGACAAGAGGAGCCAGCAGATATACCCAGTACAAGCAGACCTCAAAGAACAAGACGCATGCCTGCAAGATTGCAAGATTGTGTGATTACATCAGATGATGTAATAGATGATGAAGGTGAGCTGGTACATTATGCTTTCTATGCAGATGTCGAACCTGTTAATGCAGCTGAAGCATTAAAGGATTCGAAGTGGGTGAAAGCAATGAACGAAGAAGTAAAGTCTATCAAAGACAACAACACTTGGTCACTTGTTGAATTGCCTCAAGGCAAGAAGGCAATTGATGTCAAGTGGGTATACAAAGTGAAGACTAATTCAAAAGGTGAAATAACTCGACACAAAGCAAGACTTGTGGCGAAAGGATTTCTACAGAAAGAAGGAATAGACTTCGATGAAGTTTTTGCACCTGTTGCTAGGATCGAAACAATCAGGTTGGTTGTTGGTCTAGCAGAAATCAACAGTTGGCACATATGTCAGATGGACGTGAAGTGTGCATTCCTAAATGGACCCTTAGATGAAGAAGTTTATGTTAAACAACCAGTTGGGTTTGTGAAACATGACGAAGAAATAAAGGTGTACAGGCTACATAAAGCCCTGTATGGTTTGAAACAAGCTCCAAGGGCTTGGAATAAGAAAATTGATAGTTTTCTAAGGGAGAAGGAATTTGTGAAGTGCATAACTGAACATGGAGTATATGTAAGAAGAAGCAAGAGTAAATTGCTTATACTATGTCTCTATGTAGATGATTTGTTGATAGCAGGTAGCTGTAAAAGTGAGATCGAAGACTTCAAAGTTGACCTTAGCAAGGAATTCGAAATGTCTGATTTGGGTGAGATTTCATATTTCCTTGGTATCGAATTCTACAAGAGCAGTAGAGGTTTGATGATGCATCAAAGAAGATATGCAGGAGAAATTCTCAAAAGGTTTGAGATGGAAGAATGCAATGCAACTTCGACACCTGCAGAACCAAGACTGCAACTGTCGAAAGATGCAGATGAAGATGATGTTGATCCAACCCAATACAGAAGACTTATTGGATCATTGAGATACCTTTGTCATACAAGGCATGACTTAGCATACAGTGTAGGTATGGTAAGTAGATTCATTCAGAAGCCAAAGGTATCACATCTAGCAGCTGTGAAGAGGATACTAAGGTATCTCAAAGGAACTTTCGATTATGGCATTCTGTTTCCTACAGTTGATAAAGGAAAAGAATGAAAGTTAGTGGGATACACCGATTCGAGTTGGTGTAGTGATGCTGAAGATCGAAAGTCAACAGCAGGATATTTGTTTATGCTAGGTGGTGCAACAATTGCTTGGAGTTCGAGAAAACAACCAGTAGTAGCATTATCATCATGCGAAGCAGAATACATAGCTGCTTCTCTTTGTGCATGTCAAGCAACCTGGATGGTGAACTTGGTCGAAGAGATAACAGGGAAAAATCATGGAGCAATTACCATGAAGATAGACAGCATGTCAGCTATCAATCTAGCAAAGAACCCAATAGCACATGGTCGAAGTAAGCACATCGAAATGAGGTTCCATTATCTTCGAGAGCAGGTAGCAGATGGGAAGATGAATTTGGAACACTGCAGAACTGAGAATCAGATTGCAGACATCATGACGAAGGGAGTGCAGGTCGAAGTATTCAGAAAGCTAAGGGCCATGATGAACATAGACAGTTTAGACACAATGAATTAGGTGGTGTGTTAAATTGTAATTCATAGGTGTCAAAAGAAGATTTGATTTGTTTAGATTTAAATAGATTTGAATTTAAATCTAAATTAGATTTGATTTAGTAAAGAGATATTTTGGGCTTGGGTTTAGCTTAGGGAGCAAGCTAACCTAAATCTATAAATAAGAGGGAGTACCCTTATTTTTGTATTCAAGTCATTGAAGTCATTCACAGTATTTTGCAGTTGCAAAGTGAATAATAAAGATTCCACAGTTTGTGGGCAGAATAGAAATTCTGCAAAAATATCTCCATTGTTCTTTTATTTGTTTGTCATAACTAATCATCAGTGGTGGTCGAAATTCATCATAAAGTATTGGTGGATTTCCAACAAATTTCACCATTCATCTTTATTCCATTTCCCTAATTCATATCAAATTCGAGTTTATATTTATTATCCTCCTCTTAGATTTGCTCAATTTCATCTTGTTCGTCTTTTCCGTAATCATACAAACAACGGAATTATGCAATATGCATCTATGCCTTGTAGCTGTTTTTGATTGTTAGGTTTGTTCAATGCCATATACATAGGTTTCCTTTGCCATGTTGGCATTTTCAAGAGGCGTGGTTACTCGCTTACGGCATTTCTCCGTGGCGCCGCCGTCACTGCGATATTTTAGTTCCGATGTCGAGACTTTACGGACGATTGAAGCAAAACCTAGTGTAATGACACCACATTCACAACGAACTGGTGTTATAGCTGTAAAATGTGGAATGACTGCACTTTGGGATAAATGGGGTGCTAGAATTCCCATTTCTATCCTTTGGGTTGATGACAACATTGTCTCTCAGGTTAAAACTCCCGAGAAAGAAGGCTATTGTTCTCTCCAGGTGCGTTTTGTATTCCAGGTATCCGATCTCACTTAGTGGGATAAGGCTTGGTTGTTGTTATACCGGGAGAGTACCTTTTAGTTACTTCAGGAGTAACTCGATGTCTTTTATGTATATGTATATATTGTTCAATGTGTATCTAATTATAGACATGTTTGATACTTTGTTTTAGTTAGATTGGTTGTGGACAGAAGAAGGAGAAACATTTGACAAAGCCTGAAGTGGGTCATTTTAGGGCTCAAGGAGTTCCAATGAAGAGGAAGCTTATAGAGTTTCGAGTGACAGAGGATGCACTTCTTCCTGTTGGTACATCGCTTAACGTTCGTCACTTTGTTCCTGGCCAGTATGTGGATATTGCAGGAATTACTAAAGGAAAAGGTTTTCAGGTGTTTTTCACTTTGTTCCTGGTCATCATCTTTTGCTTATAAATATATAAAGAATTTATTTGTTACATTGTGTATGTATGTGTACATGTTTATGCTTGAATATAGCCCCATATGTATCTATATAATAGTAGTTCAGTTGAATGAATGGTGTTCTTTGTTTGTTTGTTTGTTAACATGATTAGTTATAGCTTTGTCGAAGAATTTATTAAATTTGTATTCGCAAGATTAAAACAAGTTTCCTTGAGAGGATTGCTTTTATGTAAGGGCCGGTTGATTACATAAGTTATATGGGGATTTTAACTTTTAAGTGTTTCCATCCACGCCCAATTGGTCAGCAACAAGAATGAGCTGCCACTCTCCGGAGTCCCGATGATACAATAATAAGTAGACAAGTTTAAACATGTGTTATAAGCCATTATTTATATGTCCAATTGTTTGTTTCTCAATTTATTTACTTCTGGGCCATTATTGGTGTTCAGTAGTTTCAACTTTCAACTTGCATGTACAAGTTCAGGTAACAGTGCGGCTTTATTAGTCTCTCTTGTCCTGTTTTACTTGACCTCTCTGGAAATCTGAAAGGCTAAGTGTTGATTTGCATGCTATCTAGTGGGTTGTTTATTGTTTTTTTTATAATCAGCAAATAAGCACGAGCATGAGCACAGACCATGAGCACTAGCAGCTAAGACAAGGCAAAAACATAAAAAGCTTGACAAGAAAGACATGCCTAGAACCACAAATAAATGCTAAACTTGCAATAACAAGACACCACGCCAAAAGCTACTAGCACCATAGACCTGAAGCAATATAGTTCAATAGAAACCAAAACTGCCACACAGCTTAAAAAGCCCTTACTCTAATCCTCCCTTGCCTACATACCAAACAGCATTGAATTGATTAGTAACACAACAAAGTGCCAAGGGGTCTCTCATACAGAAGAACAAGGTTTCTTCGCTACTTTCCGGAGAAACCACCTCCCAAGTTTGAGCCTTAATTTTCTCTGAAATAGACACATCATCCTCCTGTTTATTATTGAATATCGGATTATTTTATTCTTTCCAAGTTAGCCAAAGAACCCCTTGCCAGATAGAAGTCAGGCCTTTTTATTTCTCATTCTTCATAAACTTACCTACTTGATTGCGAAGAGGAATCAATCGACTTGAGGAACATAAATTTTGGTTGCAAAAACACGGTGCAAGAAGAGATGCTCTGACATTTCTTCCATTTTTCCACACTTCACACTTGACAAACTATCAGATTTGTTTAAAATATTCCTCTGAAACAGATTGTCTCTCTTAGGTAACCGGTTGTTAAGAAGTTGCCAACAAAACACATTAACTTTAGAAGGAGCGGGATTTCTCCACATCAAATTGTAGACTGGACCATACACATGGGAGCCAACTTGTTGATTAGTAGAATTTAATTGATTCTGTTTCTTATTTTATTTGTATTTCATGTATGACTGCAAATATTTCTTTGGTTTTCAGGCAATAACATCATATTAACATTGGTTTTCATTTACACAAATGTTAGTTTAAATTATCTTTTCTGTTTTCAGGGTGTAATGAAGAGGTATGGATTTAAGGGAGGTTCAGCATCCCATGGGAATTCTAAAGCACATAGAACCATGGGTTCTACAGGACAACATGATTCTCCTGGAAGGGTCAGATGGAGTCCTTTATATTAGCTTTCTGTTTTCGTATATACTTAAAATATGTATAATTTTATTTAATTATTTTCTTTACATATATGTTTCTCTCCTATAGTTGTTATGATAATATACTTTTTCCTCACTGTTCAGGTTATTAAAGGTAAAAAGATGCCCGAGAGAATGGGTGGGAAGCAAAGAATCCAGCAAGAAATTTGATGTGGGTGAAAGGCCAGGTAATTGTTTTTATATTCTTACTATTATTCACATTATTTACTTCTGCCTGAACTACAAATTACTATGGTTCCTTTTTTATGGGATCTGGAGGGTTAAGACCAAAAAATAAACCAAAACACTTGGGATGAATGATCTTAAAGTTTTATTAAATTTGAATCCACATTTGTAGTCCTACTAGTATAGAAACTTGTATGGGCCAAGCAATTTTGTAGCTCAATTATTCATTAACTGACCAAAATATCTCGAATATTGGCTTTATCACGGAACACTTATTTCACTTGATATGATGTGCACAACACAGGTCCCAGGAGCTACAGGGAACTTTGTTCTTATAAAAGATGCAGTCTATGTAAAACCCGACATATCTAAACTTCCTTTCCCAACTTACTTTGTGCCAGAAGATGAAAATACAGATCCCGACACATCTAAACCTCCTTTCCTAACTTACTTTGTGCCAGAAGATGAAAATACAGATGATATGAAGCCTTTGATTGCTGATCTTGGGGATGTGGATCCATTTCTGATTACTGATTAAAGATAATTCAAACTGTTAGTGCAAGATGATGAAATTGAGGAAGAAGAGAGAAAAAGAATAAATGCTAAAAGCTGCCACTAATGATTGAAGGAAATTGATTGTATTAAATGCAAACCTAGTACACCTATTTATACACAAAATAGTAAAGATAAGAATGCCACATATGGCCTAATGAGAATATCCCACAAATGACAAATATTAAATTACCCTCTAATACCATCCCGTAATTTAGTAACTTATCAGAAGTTAACAACACCAATTTCATCTCTCAAGCGAAGAAATTGGTCTGTTTTTATCGCCTGTCAGAACATCTGTTAGCTGTTTCTGAGTGCTACAGTGCAGAACTTATAACACTCCTTTCTGCACTTGACTTCTGAGAAAGTGATACTTCGTCTCAATGTGCTTGCTTCTTCCATGTAGCACTATATTCTTTGCAAGATTAATTGCAGACTTATTATCAATCATCAGATTCAGAGGTTTCCCAACTTCAACCTTCAAATCATGCAGCAGATTTAGAAGTCAAACTGCTTGACAAGCAGCTACAGCACCTGCAATATATTCAGCTTCACATGTTGACAAAGCCACAACTGGCAGTTTCTTGGAACTCCAAGAAATTGGACCTCCCAGAAACTTGAACAAGTACCCAGAAGTACTTCTTCTGTCAACTCTATCTCCACACCAATCAGAATCAGAATAACTCAGAAGTTCTGATTTGATCTTTCCTCCAGAAGGAAATAACACTCCATATTTCAGAGTTCCTTTTACATACCTCAGAATCTTGACAGCAGCTTGATAATGAGACCACTTTGGTTTGCTCATGTATCTGCTGACCATTCCAACTGCATAGCAAATATCAGGTCTGGTATTACACAAATACCTCAGAGAACCAACCATCTGTTTGAAGGTTGTAGCATCTACATCCTCTCCATCAGAATCAAAGTCCATCTTCTGATTCGTATCAGCAGGTGTGATAGCAACCTTGCAATTTGCTAGGTCAAATCTCTTCAGAAGCTCTAGTTCATACTTCTTCTAATGTAAAATTATTCCTTTCTCAGAGTATATAAATTCCATCCCTAGAAAGAAACTCATTTTTCCAAGATCTGTCATCTCAAACTCATTCATCAGAACTTTCTTGAACTCAGTTGTTTCTTATTCAGAACTTCCTGTGAGTAATATGTCATCAACATACAAACAGACCAGAATCATATTACCTTCTGAAGTGTGCTAAACATAAACACCATACTCCATCTCACACTTCTGAAACCCTTGTTCCTTGAAAAACGAATCAATCTTCAAATTCCAAGCTCTGGGCGTTTGCTTCAGTCCATACAGAGCTTTATTTAATCTGTATACCATCCCTTCCTGATTCCTTTTCACAAATCCAGGAGGTTGTGACACATAAACTTCTTTCTGTAATGGACCGTTCAGAAATGCAGACTTCACATCCAGATGTATCAAAGGCCAATTTCTGTTTGTAGCTAAAGCAATCACTAGTCTGATTGTTTCGTGTCTAGCTACAGGCGCAAACACCTCAAAGTAATCTAGTCCAGGTTTCTGAAGAAAACCTCTGGCCATTAGTCTCGCTTTGTGTTTGCCAATTGATCCATCTGGCTTTAGCTTCTGCTTGAAAATCCATCTGACGCTGATGACTTTCTTGCCTTTTGGAAGTTCTGTCAGCTTCCAAGTCTTGTTTCTTTTAATAGCCTCAAGTTCTTCTTTCATGGCATTCAACTATACTTTCTTCTTGAGAGCTTCTTCAATATCCACTGGTTCAGAATCTACTAGCATGGCACACTGAACGATTTCTCCTTCATAATGTACTTCAGTATCATGCAACATGCTAAAATCTGCAAACCCACTTGGTACTCGTCTGATTCTCTATGGCCTCTGATCTTGTTCTGAAGCTTCTCCAAAACTCGGAACAATGCTAGCTTTTGGACTTTGTCCAGAATTATTTCCTTCAAAATTACCACCTTCAGAGTTACTTCTGGAAACTTGTTCTCCAGACCCCATGTCTTCAGAGTTTTCCCTTCCAGAAGTATAATCACCACCAGATTCTGGATCACCATCAGAATCTAGATCAGATCCACTGTCAGAATCTCCCTGAGATTCTGACTCTTCTTCAGAGTCCTCATCTTCTGACTCTGACTCGCCTTCAGAACTTTCTGAAGGATCTTCAGAAACTAACCCTGGTGTTGGCGCTACACCAGAATCTGATTGAAGCTTATTCCAATCTCATGTTTCTGACTCTTTCACAATGACGTCTCTGCTGATTTCAACTTTGTTGGTTTCTGGACAATAAAACTTATAGGCACCTGTACTGTGGTACCCCACCAGTAACATTGTTTTGCTTCTATCATCCATTTTTCGTCTTCTAGCTTCTGGAACGTGTTTGTAGCATACAGAACCAAACACCTTCAGATGGCTAACACTTTGCTTGTCTCCAGTCCATTTTTCTAAAGGAACAATTTCCTTCAGCTTCTTTGTTGGACACCTATTCAGAACATATGCTGATGTGGCAACAACTTCTCCCCATAACATGTGAGGTAACTTCTTCTCTTTCAGCATACTTCTGGTCATATCAAGCAAAGTTCTGTTTCTTCTTTCAGCAAGACCGTTGTGCTGAGGAGTATATGGAGCAGTAACCTCATGTTCTATTCCATTCTCCTCACAGAACTTCTGGAACTCTGTAGAGTTATACTCACCTCCACCATCTGTTCTCAGAATTTTCAGCTTCTAACCACTCTGCTTCTCAGCCTTCACCTTGAACTTTTGAAACTCAGTAAACACTTGCTTGAACTTGATGAGTGTTACCCATGTCATTCTTGTGAACTCATCCACAAAAGACACAAAATATTTGTTTCCTCCAAGTGAAGGTACTGGAAATGGTCCACACACATCAGAATGTACTACTCCCAGAGCATGCTTTGCTCTGGGGGATACTTCTGATGCAAATGGCAATCTGGGTTGCTTGCCTTTCATGCATATCTCACATGACTTCTGAGGCTTCACAATCTTCGAAATGCCATGTACGAGCTTCTTAGAACTTAGATGCCCTAAGCTTATATAGTTCAAGTGCCCCAACCTCTTGTGCCACAGCTTACTGTCAGCTTCAGCGCCTTCTGCACCAAGACACCCCGCTTCAGAAGTTTTTACATTCACCTTGAATGTTCTGTTGCTTCCCTGCTCAGACTTCATAATCAACTTCTGATTAGAATCATATAACGTCAAGAGGTTGTCCTTCATAACCACTAAAAAACCTTTCTCAATAAGCTGACCCACACTCATCAGATTGCTTTTAATTCCAGGAACATACCAAACATCTTTGATCAAAATGTTTTTTTCATTCTTCACTCCGATTCTAACATTTCCCATACCTTCTGCATTAAGGTATTTATCATCAACACATCTGATCTTTGTTCTCCTTCTGGAGTCAAAGTCTATCAGCCATTGTTTGTTCCCAGTCAAGTGGTTTGAACAGCCAGTGTCCATATACTACCAATCTTCTGAACAGTTTCCATCAGAATCAGAAGCCATCAGTAGCACAAGTTCATCATCAGAATCTTCTCTGGCTATATTTGCTTCTTCTGATTTCCTTCCTCTGTTTCTACAGTCTCTGGCAAAATGGCCAAACTGTTTACAACAGTAACATTGAACCTTCTTCTTGTCATACTTTTCCTTTCCCTTCTGATATTTCTTTTCATCAGAAGTTGAGGTTTCTGACTTCTGGAATTTATCACCATGTCTATTCTGCTTCTGGTCCTTCTTGACAAAAGAAGCTTTCAGAGCTTGCTCCACTTCCCTCTCAGAAGTTCTTTCAGTCAGACGCAACTCTTGCGCTTCTAGACTGCTTTGCAACTCTTCTATTCTCAAGGTTTCCAGATTTTTAGAATGTTTAATTGAAACAACAATGTAATCAAACTGATGAGTAAGTGACCTCAGAATCTTTTCTATGATTACCTGTTCAGAAAGTGTTTCTCCACAAGCCTTTATCTCATTAGTGATCAGAATCATTCTGGAGATGTACTCAGAAACTTTTTCACTGTTCTTCATGCTGAGATTTTCATATTGTTTTCGCAGGGACTGAAGCTTTACCTTCTTTACTGACACGTCGCCACCATAACATCTGGTCAGTATATCCCATGCCCCTTTCGACGTCGTTGAATCAACAATCTTCTCAAACACATTTTCATCCACACACTGATGGATAAAGAACAGAGCTTTCTGATCCCTCTTCCTCGTAGCTCTTTCTTCTGATTTTTGTTCTTCAGTAGAATTTGTTGCAACTGAAACATAACCTTCAGAAACAAGGTCCAGAACATCCTGAGCACCAAACAGCACACGCATTACTGTTCCAGTTTTTGCCATAAAAAACTGGAAGTTTAGTGTTCAAACTACTGCCTCCATTCATCTTAAACCTTGCACAAAAACTCATATCTCAGATTTCTCACTCAGTGTTTCCCAAACCCACAGAATCAGTGTGATTCTGTTTCAGATTTTTGTTCAAGATTCAAAAATCAAATACACAACTCACTATCACTCGTGTTTCCCAGAATTTCAGAACAAACCAAGAGCTCTAGATACCAATTTGTTAGTGCAAGGTGATGAAATTGAGGAAGAAGAGAGAAAAGGAATAAATGCTAAAAGCTGCCACTAATGATTGAAGGAAATTGATTGTATTAAATGTAAACCTAGTACACCTATTTATACACAAAATAGTAAAGATAAGAATGCCACATAGGGCCTAATGAGAATATCCTACAAATGACAAATACTAAATTACCCTCTAATACAAACAAGTGAATTTTTGATGCTACTAGAGTTTTCTTCATGTAATCAATTATGTTCTTTTATTTGAATATAGATGGCAAAAATGAGAATTTTGAAGAACCACCATTTCCAAAGATTACCTGATGTGAATACTGCGATGAACATAGAAAGTAGAATTGATATCCGAAGGATCATAATTTGGAATGATGGACAAATTTGTAAAAATACAA